AAAAAAAAAAAAAAAAAACCTTAGGGGACATAATTTGATCGTTAAAGGTCTTATTTTCAGCCAGGTGTCTCTGGCAGTCTAGTGTGGCTGTGTGTCTGTACTAAAATAGAATACCTTTATTACTTCAATACATAAATAAAAAAAAAAAAAAAAAAAAAAAAAAAATATATGAACCTATGGGGACCATTCTTATCCAAACTACCACAAACTATTTGCAGTGTGCCTACCATATGCCAGTCCATATACCAGTCCCACTTGCCTGCGCTGGTCATCTCACACACTTTTGGTGACAGCCCTAGTTAGAAAAGCCCTGTGTTTGTTTTCCCTGAACTCCTGAAGGACCATTCTTGGCATGTAGCCACAGGCCCTGCAAGCCTGAAGACTGTAGGCATGGCGGACCACTTGTAATTCCAACCTTGGAAGGTGGAGACAGGATCCCTGAGCAAACTGGCTAGCAAAATTAGCTATATTGGCGAGCTCTGGGTTTGATTGAGAGACCCTACTTAAGTGAAAGAGGTGGAAGAGCAATTGAGAATGAGTTCCAACACAACCTCAGACTTCCACATGCATACATGTTCAGATTCAGGTACTCCCCCACAAATGTCACCACACGGTGACATGCAAAAAAATCCATCAACACATGCATCATACACATACACATTAAAAATAGAAAAGAAAAAAAAATGGAGTCACTGGGTCCCAAAGATGGGAGGACTCCTGAGACAGAGCCTCCACACCTTGCTGGCTTCCGACTTGAGTCAGTCTCTTCCTGGTGGCAATCTCCACAGACCGTCCTCGCTGGACACTTTCCCCAGGACTCAGATGGTGGAGGGTGGAGACTCAGGAGTATGTAAAAAGAAGGTTGGGAAATTCCTCTTAGCATAGGAATAAACACTACTTTGAATATTCAGTCCTTGAGGTTATAAATAACTGAGTTTTCATTGATGTGTAAGTGGTGATACATTTTGTACAATAATTAGTTATTTGATTACTTTTGTTTTAGCCTGAAGTAGAGGACAATTGACAACTGTGAATGCCCCTGAGACAGATGGGGCCGGGTGAGCTCCCTTTATTTATTACAAAACGCAACTTTATTAATATGAATTGACAGTAATTAATTTGCTAGTGTTGATGTTGTTAATAATTGCATGTAATTTATGAAATATTCATGCTGGAGTGAAATAAAGTAATGCACGGGTCCTGAGGCTTGGCTGTTAAGAAGTGTGAATAGTTCAGCCAAGACTTTGTACTTCAGTGTGCTGATAAGCAGAGTGGCTTGAGACAAAACAATGTTTGCATGAGGATAACCTTGAACTTCTGATCCTCTTGACTCTACCTCCTAAGTTCTGGGGCTCAAACCTAGATATGTATGCATCTTAAGTAAGCAGTCTACCAACTGAGCCACACCCCCAGCATCTAATTTTGGATGTTTTAAATTGACCTCTAGGCATTTGGGGGATTCTGGATTCATGCTTCAGGGAACCACAGAACTCTCTAAAATTAAACAGTACCTAATTTCATCTTTCTAGAAATCAGCAAGCAGTTATTTTATCCCCATTTCACAGATAAACAAACGAAGGCCAAAAGACAAGTCTTGGCTCCCAGGCAAGCTGAATTGTCAGATGCAAACTCAACTCTAGGACCTCGGCCTCCTAAGTCCAGGACCACAAAGTAAAATTTAATTTTGCTTTTATTCCATTTTTTTTTCTGCCTATGAATGAAAGTATGGACGGCGCTCCCTCTAATTCAGTTTGGTCTCTTGTTCCTAGAAAAGGATTGCAGTTAGAGGGCATCACAATTGAATTCTGCTAATGCAGTCAGTGGCGCAGGGGGCCCTTGCTGGAGCCTGTGGTCCTCTGGGTCCAGGCGCCTCAGTCTGCAGGCTTGCTGGAGAGGACCCCTTGCCACCGCGGGGGCTTCAGGCCAGGAGCCCAAGGAGCAGCTGCGGGGAGCTAGAACATGCTCTGACGGGCCACGGAAGCCTTGCCTCACTCCCCTACTTAGCCCAGCCCACATTTGGTGTCGGTCCCCTGCCGCCATATTGAAATTTTAAAAGGTTTGAACGTATTTCATTCTCATTTCACACCAGGCCTACAAGTTATGTAGCTGGTTCTGCCCTCCATCTGAAACTCGGAGACAGGGTCTGAGGTAGTTAACCCCTTTCGACCTTCAGCTTTTCATCTGCGAAGCGGGGATGAGTGTAAAGAATAGAAACTACATGTAGGCAGAGATGTGCCCCTATCTCTTCCCTTAACCCAGTGGCGCAGGTGAGGTATCTGGTAAAGGGGCCACCCCTAGGAATCGAGGTCCCCCTAAGACAATGCATTTTTCCTTTCAAGATTTCCTGTTCTCTGCCGCATCCCCTATGAGTGGACTTGAGGTTCAGCTAGGTCTGCCCATCTTTCTGAAGCCCGACCCAGAGAGGTGTAGCCCTGGCCCGCCAGAACCTAAGTATGATTTGGTTTTGTTTTTTGTTTTTTGTTTTTTTAAAGATTTATTTTATTTATCATGTACACAGTGTTTGGTCCACCAGATATCATTACAGATGGTTGTGAGCCACCATGTGAACTCAGGACCTTAGGAAGAGCAGTTGGTGTTCTTAACCTCTGAGCCATCTCTCCAGCCCCCTAGTTTTTTGTTTTTTGAGACAGGGTTTCTCTGTGTAGTTTTATTGCCTGTCCTGGAACTCGCTGTAGCCCAGGCTGGCTTCAAACTCTGTACATTGTCCCTGAGGTTCCTTTATTAATGGGACTAAGAACCCCAAGAGGGGACTCTGATTTCCTGGGCATCACGTGATGGCTCTGCAGGGCTCCCCCAAAATCCCAGTAACACTTCTTTCCTGCTGTTTACTTCTTTAGTTGGCAGAAAAAAAGAAAAGAAAAAAGAAAAAAAAAAAAAAAAGGAACCTGGTGCCGCACCCTGGTTTGCATCAGAACGTTTGATGCCATCAAGCTCTTGGAGGGGTTGAATGAACCCATGCCTTATGAATTATGAGGTCCGGAGCCGAGTCAAGGGGTTTGGGCTGGATTTGTGTCTTCCAGTACTCACAGGAGTGAGCAAGAGCTGTAGCATCTTCCAGAAGGAGGGCAAAGAAAGATGGAGGCCAGTCCAGAGGCCACTTCATATCCTCCCTGAGCCTGCAGGGTCAGAAGCAGGGAACAGGCTGATAAATCTGTAGCTAATCCAGGTTGATAGTGTGCCCTGCAGTCTTGGTTGAGGATTTTGGAGGTCACCCCTGGAGTCAGAATGATGCAGGGCTGTCTAGGCTCAAGCTGACTATACTGGTTTCCTCCTCGGTTTGAGCTTCACCAGTCTGAGGAGAAAATAGAAATGTACAGTGTTTTCAGCAGACAACCATTTTCCCAGTGAGACATGTTGTCACCCAGAACTAATTTCTCATAGGTGTCAACAGTGTCATTTTTCAGGTGCCTCCTTGGGCCAGGGGACAGTTGAGGGTGCCCAACACAGTGACAATAAAAGGCCCTGTGTGGGTAGAGTGGTATAAAAGTGATTTTTGCGGGCTGGAGAGATGGCTCAGAGGTTAAGAGCACTGCTTGTTCTTCCAAAGGTCCTGAGTTCAATTCCCAGCAACCACATGCTGGCTCACAACCATCTGTAGTGAGATCTGGTGCCCTCTTCTGGTCTGCAGGGATATGTGCACTGTATACATAATAAATGAATTATTTAAAAAAAAAAAAAAAGTGATTTTTGCATAGCTGTGACCAACAAACATATCCGAGACAACAACTTAAAAGGAATAATGGTTTATTTTGGCTCGCCGGCTCATTTGATTTCACAGTCCTCGGCTTAGCTGACTTAGGATCTGTGACAGATGAAGCAGGACGCTGTGGTGGTGGAACACATGCAAGAGGACCCTCTCCACCTGGCAGTGGACAAGCAGAGAGACAGAGAGACTGGGAACCTGGTAGAACCTTCAAGACCACACCCTGCCCCTCCCCAATCCCAGGTCATTTCCAGAAGTTTCCAGAATCTCCCCAAATAGGATCACTTGGACTTGAACTCAGGTCCTCACATTTGTGCAGGAAGTCATCTGCTGAGTCATCTCCCTAATCCCCAAAAGAGATTTTTTTAATTAAAATTTAATTCAACTGTTTATTTTCCTTTGTTAATGTGGCTTGGAGTGTGTGTGTATATATATCTGTGTGTATGCATTTTACTTATCTATCTATCTATCTATCTATCTATCTATCTATCTATCTATCTATCTATCTATCTATCTATCTATCTATTGGTATAGGAGGTGGAACACAAGACCTTGTGTGTGCTAGGCAAGCACTCTATCACTGAGCGATATTGCCCGCCTGTGTTTCTTTCAGGCAATGCTGGGCTAGACCACGAGTCCAGGATGGTCTTCTCATTAAAATCTCCTTAGAGCTCCCAGAAGGCTCAGTATCCATGCCCCAGTGAGGGTTCAGAACACAGCAGATTTCTAAAGAATATAACACAGGCAGCCAAAGACAAAGGGAGCATCATACTCTTTGGAGTCAGACAAACCTGGATTCAAATCCTGGCTCAGCCAGCTCCTGAGCCATCTGTGGGATGGGTCTGCTAGCCTCTGCTCATCCCTTTCTTCCTCAGTCAAAAACCTGCTCATGGAGGGCTTGGTAGATCTGGCTCCCAGCACTGTGTATGCTGGCCTTGGACAAGGGGTGGGATGAGTGTGAAATGTGTCAGGGTGGCTGGCAGGGAGTCCTTCTGGAGACACATCTGGACCATGCTGCATACTTCCTTTTTTCGGACATCGGCAGACGCCTCTGGATTAGTTCCTGAGCCCACTGGTGGATGAAGGCAGAGCATCTTGCCTGGCTCTGACTGTCCTGTCTCAACCCAGGTGACAGCTTGGAGGAGGGGCCTCTTGACAGTGGTGATGGGCAGGGCACAAGGGCATTTCAGGTCAGTCCCCACCTCTCCCAAGAGTCCCCCCCCCCCTTGGGGCCTGCCCTTCCTCACCTCCCCTGCCAAGCTATCTCTGAGCTCCGCATCCCTTGGCTGTTCCTAAAAGGACCTGAGACACACAAAAGGGAGCCGCATTTTCCGTTATCAAGACACAAAATCCTTACACTTAATTAAAACGTGCCATGGCAACAAGCCAGGCACGTGAAGCTGGGAGCAGAGTGGCCGTCACTGCCGAGGGCCATGCCCACGTGCCATCCTTTTGTTCTGGGCGCCAGGAGGGGTGACTGCACCGAGTCTTTTGTGAGTGTCCCTTTTGTCTGTGGCCTGGGGCAGACACGCAGGGCCTCCGTGGGGCCTCCGTGGGGCCTATGCCTGCAGCCTTTCTGGAGCTAACACCCTGATCAGGCCGCGAGACTGGGAATCTGGAGCAGGCTGGGCCCAGCCTCTATCAGCTGAGGATCCCGCTGGCGCACAGGTGTGAAAAGACATAGTCCCCGTATTCTGGATGCTCCTGGGAGAGACAGACACAGAGCAGATTCTTCTATGACAGAGGGAGGACTTTGCTGGGGTGTGGAAGGAGTGCAATGCCATGGAGAGGGGCTGGAATCTGCAGGCTTCCTGCAGGGGGAGCCCTCCAAGCCGTGTGGCAGTTGAATACAGAAGGGAAAAGATGGAGGAGGCTGGAGGTGAGGAGGGAGGGTATCTCCTAGCGCAGTATGAGCTGAGGTATGGGGGGGTTCAGAAGGGGCTTGGGTGAGTGGGGATGCACGTCTCAATGCCTCAGGAGGAAGGGTGGGGACTGTGGAAGGCTCACCCGCTTTGGTTAGCCGTGGTAGAGCAGCTGGAACAGCAGCAGGAAGAGTCATTCACCCTCACCCGAGCACCAAACGCATGTCCCCTGTGTGAAGCCGCTCCAAATGCGAATGGCTGAGGTAAGGCGCGGTCAGCCTCCCCCCACGGACCGAACAGTGGGCCCTAGTGTGGGCAGACTGAGTGAAGAGGAGCATCAAGCATTAACCCTAAAGCTCCCAGCATTCCCCACCAGAGGTGGTGGGTTGAGCAAGTGTCAGGAGAAGTCAGGCCAGTCCAGTGTTGGCAGCATTGACTGTTGCCAAAGGGTCGTTAGGCTCCAACTCCGGAGTCGGGAAAGAAAGTCACGGTAGCTTCTCACTGCCCCTAATTCAAGTCACATTAAGGCTTCTTGGATTTTTTTTTTTTTTTTTTTGGCTAGTGCTGGGAATCGAACCCAGGGCTTTGCACATGCCAGACAAGTGCTCTAACAAGGGTTACATCTCCGGCCTCGCTTTAAGGCTTTACTTATTCCAGATACTTCTTGGCCTCCTCTGAGCTGGTGTGTGGAGAAGGGAGGCCCTTGGTTTGGGTGCGTACTTCACACCTCAGGCTTAGTATGGGAAAAGGTCCAGCCGGGTAGGGCATGCATAGGGCCAAGGGGGTGGGGGCGCCTAGAGCCTCATAAATGAACGCGAGTTTATGTAGTACCCAACTTATGTAGTACTGGGGATCGAACCCAGGGCTTTGTGCATGCTAGGCAAGCCCTTTACGAACGGCTACATCTCTCAACCCTCTGAATTCTCTTAAAAGCTATCGATATAGAGGCTATAGAGCCCCGTGGACAATGATTCTTTAAAATAATTTTTCCAGCGTGAGACATTGCCTGGTCCCCTCCAGTTTCATCCCCTGCCTTCTCTGGGCTGGCCTGGGAAGTAAGGGCTGATTCTTTTAAAATAAATACCGGGTGCTGTGGCTGATTCAAAGGGCCGAAGGTCTGCTGGGACCTCGTGCTCCTCTCGGAAGGAGTGGGACTTGGAACGGGACTAAAACACAGAAGATAAGAAGCCTTGAAGGCAGAGATGATGACTCCTGGGGTTCCTCCAGGTACCTGCAGAGCCCGTGGCAATCTGCCCCACAGGGAGCCTGCGCCACTGAGAGGGAAATGGCCCAATTCAGGACTGGTTAGAAATTGGGCTCATATGCCGGCCATTAGGGAACTTGACTCGACGAGCAAATGAGAACTTTTTGTAGTTGCACAAGAGAGCACCATTCTTAATTTGCCCTCTTCATGGCCGTGGGAGATGAGCACTTTATCTGAAACTCAAGTGCCCAGACTGAGAAGCGAAAGGAAGCCGCTAGTGTGGGGAGGGGAGCCAGCTGTGCCCTGTTCCTCTGTGGCCGCATGTCCACGCTGTGTTCTTGGTGTGTGGTCCCAGGAGCAAGTGCAACCCCAATGGGTACGACGGGGTCATCAACGAACGTGAGTCCATCAGATGGGCAGAGATGCTCTTCCCCCGGTAAGATCCACCAAGGGTGATGGAGAGCGCACTGATTTCTGACCAGAGGATGGAAACTGCTTTCAGAGTGGCTGCCGGGACATCTCTGCTGGCGCTTGGTGCTCTCTTTATATTATTTATATATATTATAAGCCTGACTTATGCTTTTGGCCAGCCTGTTGTCCAAGGTATACACTTGGGTGTAGTTTTGTTAGGCAAATATGGTACTGGGGGATCCTATGGCCTTGGGGCCAACCAATTATGGATTGAAACTAGTTTGAAAAATTCCCATGTTTGGGACCAGAGATGTGGCTCAGTTGACAGAATACTTGGCTAACAATACTTAAAGCCCTGGGTTTGATCTTCAGCACTGCATAAACTGGCTATGGTGGTGCATGCTGGTAGTCCCAGCACTTGGGAGACAGAGATGAAGAATCAAGAGTTCAAGGTCATTTTTGCCTATATATACATATATAGTTATATAGATATATTATGTATTTATTTCAAATTATATAAATACCTTGTTTCAAATATATAAGCAACTATACATTTGTATATATATATATAATTGTATATATATAAAAGTATATATGAAATTGTTTCTGTACTAAACACATATAGACTTTTTCTTGTCATTATCTTCTAAATAATATTCTGACAACTATTTACATTGTCTGGGATGTTATGTGGGTAATCCATAGACCCTTTACAGTACCTGAAGTTATACACAGCTTATGTACAAAGATGACACTTTAAAGCTAGAGACTTGTGTGCCTATGGATTTGGGTATCATTGGATGTCCTGGATAAGAAGTGGGATCTGGGAGAACTGGATGTTAGAACGTTTTCTACCTTGAGCTGTTGGACCTTGGACTTGGTACAATACCTTTCCAGACATGGAAAATATGGTACACAGACTCATGGTCAAAACCGTATTTGGGTCCGGGTTTTGTGATTCTTTAACGGCTTCCCTTGTCCCAGACTTTCACCCAAGTGATGTCAGCATCAGAGAAACCGATCTTTTGATGCTATTGTCCCCTCTAGGTAGCCAAGAAGCAGTTAACCACTGGCTAATGACAGCGCCCACCTACCCACGGAGTGTGGGACCACTGGCGCCAGCGGATCTTGTCGCGAGTAATCCCAAGGACGGGACGTACTTTCAGGCACTGTGGGCATTGGCTGATTACTACAGGCTGGTTTAGAGCATGTTATGCCTGGCATTTGAGAGACGTGGTTCTGCAGGGGCCTGGGAGGAAAGTGACATCTGAGAAGGGTAGATTGCGAAGATGTTGGGGGGCGGCTTTCTGGGGACCCCCTTGTGTTTCTAATACAGCAGGCTTACTACGTCCACCCACATCATTTGATAAAATCCCAGCACAGGTGCGGGGCTGGTCCAGGTGTTTCGTCTTCCTCTCTTCGACTCCTCCTCACTATGACTGATTCCTAGAAATCTTGTTTTTTGTTTTTGTTTTTTAAATACATCAGTGAGACAGTTTGCAGATAATAACAACAGAACATTACATTCTATGTCCTTAAGTGAACTACACTGTGGTCATTAGCGTTAAAATGTTAACTTGACAGAATATAGAATTACCTGATACATAGGGTCCTGAGCACACCCGTGGGAGATTATCTTGAGGCAGGGAAACCTGGCCACTGTGGGTGGCACCATTCTTCGGCTGGGATCCTTGACTGTCTACATGGAGAGAAGTTGCTGAGTAGCATGCATTTACCCTCCCCTGTGTCTGGAGTGTGTGACCAGCTGCTTCAAGCGCTCCTGCCTTAACTTTCTTGCCATGATGGACTTTGCCTTGAATGGTAAGCTGAAATAAACCTGAAGTCGTTTTGTTAGAGTATTGCATCACAGCAGATGACTGAGACATGCGCTGTTCCTGTTAGTTTTTCTCCAGATACCTCTTCCATTTGCCCAAAACCACTGCCTCTGGAGCCTCCCTCATGAAGCTTCTGAGGTCACTTGGCAGATCGTCTTCACTGTCAAACTGGAATGAGAGCGCCCTCTAGCCACCTGGAGGTGTCTCTGCACCATTCCTTTAACAGTTCACTAAGTGACAGCTGGCACCCTCTCCTGAGTGTCCAAGAGGCCTTCTTATTTAATTCTTTTCGTCTTCCTGCTGCTTGTTCCTATGGTTATAAAAGCCTCGCCCTGTCTAGCATATAAAAGACATGCAGTACATGGTTCCTGAAGGAACATAGCTCTTTAACAATCTCTTCTTTTGTGGGGTTGGAGAGATGGCTCAGTTGGTAATGTGCTTGTTTTGCAGGCGCAAGGACTTGAGTTTGGTCCTCAGAACTCATGCCAAAGGACTGTGCTGCACCCTTGGACTCACTGTTCTGGGGAAGCAGAAGCAGCTAGACCCTGAGGTTCGCCAGCTGCTGGCCAGGCTAGCCTATCAGGCAAGGTCCAAGCCAGTGAGGGGTCCTGTTTCAAGAAAGAGCAGCGACACTGGCGGTCGTCCTCTGTCCTCTGACTTCCACATGCATATGCACATAGACACGCATACCTACACACTCACACGTGTGTGCGCACACACAAGCCTCAAAAGTTCAAATAATAGGCAAATGTCTGAAATAAACTATAAATGGTCCCTTGCACTCTGTTTTTATCCTAATCCTCTGGGCAATTTGATTAACAATTCTTGTATGTTTTTCAAGGTTTTACAAATACAAATATAAGCTTCATGCACATTTATAGGAAAAGAGAAATACATGTGGGCCGCTGCTGTGGCTCAGCCTGTAAAGGTACTTTCGGCTAAACCTGGTGACTTGAGTTAGGTCCCAAGGACCCAGACCATGGAAGGAGAGAACTGACTCCTGCAAGTCGTCCTCCGGCTTCCCCAGATGCATGCGCACACAGGATTGGCCAGTAAAAATGCAAAATCTGCTTTAAAAACACAGACATAAACCATAGACTGAGATGCCTTTTCTCTCTGAAAATGAGATCATTTAATCTGTACTGGTGAATTTTTTTTCCTGTCCATTTTTTGGCCCTTGCAATGTATCACGGGTATCTTTCCATTTCAGTTAATATTCAGTGATCAGGGCTCTCTAATAATCTATTTACCCAACCCATTGTTTCCCATAGCACAGAGGCTATGGCCAGAACTTATCTAGCTACCCTTGCACAGCTGTGTGAATGTCTCTGTGCAGAGATCCCTAGAATAAGATAGGACCTTTTAATTAAAGCCCCCAACACAGGCCCCAAGCCTTGGAGGGCTGCTCCATAAATACTGGCTGATGACAATACCATGGTGTCATATTAATTAGAACAGGAAGAGACCCATTAGGGCAACCAATGCACATTCATAGGGCAAACCGGTCCTAAAAAAGGAAGACAGAACACTTAATATGATCATCTGCAAAGACAAAAAAAACCCGTATTAACTGTATTAAGTAGCAAGTTACGTGAGCACCAGCATGGAAATTTGTTTCCAGAGGAGAGTTCGCGGCACAGAATGCATAAAGACACTGCATTAAAGATGAAACAAGAGGGATTATTTACCCAGCATAGTTACCTAGAAAATATACAATTTGATCTAGATAGAGGCTTTTACCGTACAAATTATTGTGGCCTCTACTTCAATCACAAACAGCCTTCAAGTTGGGCAATTGCCTTATAAAAAAAAAAAGGAGACGAGAACAGTTTCCAATTGTCTGGAATGAGCTTCAGAAACAGGCTGCTCGCTTCTGATGGAACAATTTAAGCTGCTCGTCTCCTTATCAGATGTGGACATCATTTTTCAGAAGGGGTAACCAGCTCAAATTAAATAGTTTTGCTGCAGACAGTCTGTCTGTCTCCCCTCCCCCCCACCCCCGCTTCTCCTGCACACAGGGACCTGCAGGCCTCTGCTAATTTAGGAAGATTGGTCTGGGCAATGGTAAAGTGAGATGAATAGAAACAACTTTAACAGAGAGAAAAATGAGCGATATTAAAAAGAAGAGAAAAGGAAAGAAAAAGAATAATAATGGCCGGTCAGGCTGATTTGACAGGGGAGAGACTATATCCTTGCCTGGTCGATTGTCTCCTAAACCCTTTTGAAACCCCAGGTTTTATTTGCAAATGATCTTCACTATGGTCCAAGGGTTCAACAGGAAAAATAATGAGCTAAAGCCACGAGTTGGCTTGAGCCAAATAGGACTCTCGTGTCATTGTGAGAGGAGGTGAGAGAGAACAGCTCCCGGGCCATTTTGACCAAATTGCCTCAGTTCAGGCAGGGGCTGGTTATCTTATTGTCTCAGGTGTTTCACAGCCTCCTGCACTTGCCTGGTCCTCCTCCTCCATTTTCACTTGGGCCCAGTGAGCTCAGCTGCAGAGAGGAGGGGCCTCTCTCTCCACCTGCCTGCCAAGCAGAGGAGTAGCCTTCTGGGGGCCTGCCAAGAGCAGTGGCTACCCTAGAGAACTTCAGGGAACCTAAGAGAGGCCCTCCCTCCCTCCCTTCCTCCCTCCCTTCCCTCTGTTTCTCCTTCCATTTCTTTCCAAGCCTATCCTGTCAGTTCCAGTTCTACCACTGGAAGT